ATATTTGTGCTCAATAGAAAAGACTTTATTTCCTGCAAATTATACAGAATTTGCATGCTTGGAAGACTACTAATTTGAGTACTTGTTGTCTGCCTGGGTTTGTCGAAGCAAAGCAGTTTAACTTTTGTTAGACTGTCATTGCAAAAGAAGGATGCTTAAAGAACAAAAGTAAATACGTATCTGAGAAAAAGATGGATAGCCATATTCTAGTTATCATTATAGATATTTTAATAATTCTAATTGCCTGATGGCAGCACTGTCCCTCTGATACGAGGGTTTGCGGGGTGCCCTGAGGAGTGTTCAAGCTCTGGGTTACCGTGATCTCCACAGGCACCATAGCCAGGTTGAAGAGCCCAACGAATCCACTATCAAGGGACGCTGATGCCTGTACATACCTCTGCCGATACATCAATGCAAATGCTCAGGCAACTCAGAGGGTCTGCCTAGAGCCTGCCCAACCCCGTTGCCAGCCCCCTTTCCCCCCCGCCCCCCCACACACAGGGGAAAGAACAGCCCCGAAGCCCCCAGTCAGCAGCGGCCGCACCCCGCCGTGCGGCGCTGCGCCCCCCGTGACCAGCAGGTGGCGCTTCAGCACCGCAGCCGGAGGCGGGCACGGCCCCGCTGGGCTCCCGGGCCTCACTCTTTCGGTTCTTTCTGTCCCTGCAATGAACTTAGAACAGTTTTTACTTCTCTTTGACTTCATATTTTCCTTACCGGGATCAATATGCATGTATACATTTGCACAAGGGTTGTGATTGTGTTCCCAATTTATCCTTTTCTAGGAAAAAGAAAAAAAAAGAAACTTGCACTTTTAAAGCCATTCTGTTTTGTCACCAGCTGCTCCCATATGTGAGCTAAAACTGTTCAGCTGGGACGTGAATTCTGTTAACCCTGGAGGCCTGAAAACAGCCTACCATCACTGTTAAGTTATCAGATGGTTGCAGATGGCCATGGGAGTGTGAGATAAAAGCTCTTCTGTGAAAGCTAGGTGTTAAAGCAAGGTATTCAGGTTGGAGTTAGGAACAGGTTCTTCACCAGAAGGCAGTGGGCATGGAACAGGCTGCCCAGGGCAGTGCACACCACCCAGAGCTGCCAGAGTTCAAGAAGCATTTTGACACCATTCTCAGACATAGGGTTTGAATTTTAGGTGTCCCTAGAGCCAGGAGTTGAACTCGATGATCCTTGTGGGTCTCTTCCAACTGGAAATACTGTTATCCTTTGATTCTAAAAGCTCACTGCTGGGCCCCCGGCAGCTGGGGCAGGGAATAGGCTGCCAGCCTGGGGCCAGGGTGTGTGTGGGCAGGCAGCCCATCATTAGCTTTTCACTGGTGATCATTGCCACCTGGGATTTCCTGGGGAAGCAGCCCACCTTCACACAGACCCAACGGGTTTTCTCTTGTTCTAGCTGTGCAGAAAGCCTTGTCAAGTGCTCCAGCTTCATTTTAATTTGTGTGTTTGTTTTTAAGAGCTGTTTACAGGAATTACACTTGCTAACTAGAACAGGGTATTAATTACGTTCTGTGGTCTTTGTTGGATTTTAAGCCATCACTTATCAGAGCAAGCAAACATCAGAAAGATGTGTGTACACAAACAGCAGAAGAAGCAGTGTATGAAGGAGAAGTTTAGTTTTATTTATTGTTTATGTTAGCAGGTAATGCTTTCTGACTCTGCAATTAACTTCCAGCAATAAGCCAAGGAAAGCTTCTAAAAAGCTCTGCGGGGGGAATAATGATTAGTTAATCCCATCTAAGCAGATTTTAATGGAAATAATACAAAATCACATTGTATTTAAAATGATTCCTCAAGGACAAGACAAAGCTCGGGGAAGTCACCACAAATATTATTTGATTTTAGGGAACATCGGATTACGCCTTAGAAACGCCTCTCCCATCTGTTTTCTTCTGTGTGATGTTTCATCCCATGCTTTGAAAAGTACCGGGTTGCCCCAGTACAATTTTCATCAATGGGAAGAACGTAGCTGTTTGCCTGTTGGTTTCGTTCCAAGCAGGAGGACTTCCAAATTAACTCTGGCATTTGACACAGTTTGAAACACCCTCATGTGGTGTACACAAAGCAGTCAATAGCTCACTGTTGTCAAACAGATGACTCACAGATGCCAGGGCAGGGAGATGAGAGAGGGAGGCAGATACTGCATCGGGTACCGACTGACATCTAGAGTGAGTGCCAATGGCAGACAGATAAGTGGAGGAAGACAGTGTCAGAAAATGCGCATTATGTGATAGACATCTAATTCTTTGCAGTGGTCTGAGGAAATACGAAAAGTGATACTGTAGTCACAGCACTTTTCTGACTTGATATAAAATGGGAAATGAACACTTTTATTTGGTCCACCGCACTTGAAGAAGAGGTATTTTCAGTGCGGCGATGTCTGCAGAGCTGTGTGATTGAGTGCGTCTGATGGTTTTAAATGTTAAATAATTCCATTAGAGTCAGGGTAGAAATGGTAATGAACAGCTTGGAAGAGTCTGAGCGTACTGACATGAAATGTTGAGCAATTAGCTTCTCCCTGTGTGAGTGAGTCCTGCAGTTCTCATCAGTAGCAAAGTGACCTTTAAAACACATGGATGACACAGAAGCTCTTTCAATAACTATTTTGATCTATTGTCTGCTGACAAATTGCATGTAAGGATTTGGGATTTACATGGCGCAGTAGATTTTGGACTATAATGGAAGATTTTGAAAAGCTTTAAATGAAAGCTTTGTAATAGCAGCAGTGCATCTTGTTGAGTTTGGGGACGTGATATTTGGATATTCATTGTGGGAAGAAGAATGAGGCTAAGGTTACCACAGCACTTGATGTTATCATCTTGTTTCTATTTACTTTAAAGCACCTTGAAAATTCACTGTTCTGGCTTTGAATTCTATGTATGGCAGCCAACCCAAGAGCCACACGATAAAATCAAAATACATTTGGAATTAGCGTACAGTGAAAAACATACGCGTATTAGCACTTAAGTGGCACCAGCCTAATCAGCACATCTAATCTTTTCACTGGGAGAGTTAGGGCATAGGAGGGGTGATTCGAGCTGCTTGACTGCTGTCCGTGACATTGGATTGTGCTTTGAGCCCAGGCACGAGGGAACAGCTGAGCTCTTTCGGTAAATCTGTATAAGGCGTAAGGCTGTATAATGAGTGGTGGAATGGAGAGTACAGCTTGAGCCAGGATATCCTCTGTGCTGTATGTGATGCAGATGTGTGCACTCTAGAAGCATGGAAAAATACAGCTTCATACTGACCTCAAGACAGAATTTAAAAATGTAGACAGAACGATATTTTTCCTGCCTGCTTAGGTATTCATCTCTGCGGCCACATGCTTGGCTATGGAGCTTTTGGACAGATTCAAGTGATGAGGCCATAGATAATTTGTGGGCTCAGTTTGAGGGGGAAAAAAAAAAAAAAAAAAAAAGTACCATTAATGCACTTCAGTTCCCTCCCTGTATTATTAATGTACATCATTGCAGGGTTTGGTACTGGTTACAAAACAAAATTATGGAGTTTTGTGGAGATGGAGAGGCTGAGGTTTTGGGGAAAGGAATAGGCAATGTAATGCTTATCTTTAGAAAGTCAGAAGGAGGTTTTTTGGACCATAAGAAAATTCTTCCAGCAGTTCCTGCCAGCAAGTATCTGCACATCGCAGCAGATGCTCACAGCTGAAGTCTCACCCTGCAGAGCCAATGCTTCCCCTTTCCTTGTTAGGCTTGTGCGAGCTGCTGGCATCCTGAAGTCTGAATGCCCTTTGCAGTTGGGGTGCCTAGAAACAATCCTAGCCACAAAAGCCAGGTCGCATTATGCCACAATGTGGGCACGCTGCAACTGGCTGTGAACAAATGTGGTCACTGGGCTGTGGCAGCACCGAAGCAGCTGATCTGTCACATGCTCCCTTGGTGGCAAAGGGACTTCTAGGAGGCTGTGAAGGGAACAGATCAGAGGTTTTAGGCCTCCTCCAGCTGATGTGATGGCTGAGGGCTCCTCACATAGCAGAGGTTATGACACAAGGCAGTGCAATGAGATTCCTTTTCCTACACCAAAGCACTCCCTGCAGCACTCTCTAGGATGAAAGGAATGGCCTCAAGTTGCACCAGAGGAGGTTCAGGATGGATATTAGGAAACATTTCTTCTTAAAAAGCATGGTGAGGCATTGGAATGGGGAAGTGGAGTCACCTTCCCTGAAGTGTTAAAAAAAAACAGTGTAGCACTGAGGGACATGGTTTAGTGGTATGGCAGTGATGGATCAACAGCTGGACTTAGATGATATTAATGGTCTTTTCTAACCTTTAATGATTCTGTGATTCTATGATTCTAACTTATTCCTCTAATTTGCTCATCACCAGACTCCTGTCTGTCATACAGACCCCATCCTCTCCATGTCATTTGAGGAGTGGGAAATGCGGTGTGGTTGCGGCAAGTACACCAACTTCAGTTTTTATGATTTTCCTAACCAGTGTGAAGCACTGCCCACAGCACCCAAGTGGGGAAGGTGCACAGCAACTGAGCTGCACAGCACAGCACAGTGGTGCTGAACACAGCCTTCTGCTGGTGCACACAGGGCCATTGCATGTGTGCACAGGCGCACACTGAGCAGGCGCACAGCAGCACATTCCCTCACAGTGTGGTGACAGAAGGCTTCGGTGCCTGCAGGAATACACAGCTGGTGCCATCAGCAAGGACAGGCGAGCCAGCTGGCACAGAGAGGTGACATTTCATGTGGCTGCCAACATGGAACCCCCATGTGGTACCACCTGCAGTGAGATGACATTCAGACCTCAGCTGACATGACACAATCTCCGGTTCCAGATTGCGCTGTTAATGCCCCCTGTTCTCCGAGACAGGCGGGCTCCGTGCTGCATTCATTGGCACGGCGGCACAGAAAGAGCAGTGATTTGAGTGATTTCACAGGGTTTGTTCAGTGCAGAGCAGAGGGGAGGCCTGATGGCGGCTGCAGCTCCTCATAAGGAGCGGAGGGGCAGCGCTGAGCTCTGCGACGGGGCCCGAGGGAACGGCATGGAGCTGTGTCAGGGGAGGGGCAGCCGGGGGTGAAGGACAGGTTCTGCACTAGGGGGCGGTGGGCGTGGAACGGGCTGCCCAGGGCTGTGGACATGGCCCCAAGTGCTGGAGTTCAAGGAGCGTTTGGACAGTGCTCTCAGACATAGGGTGTGGATTTTGGGTGGTGCTGCGTGGAGCCGGAAGGAGGACTCGATAATCCTTGCGGGTCTCTTCCAGCTTGGGATATTGTGTGCTGTGGGTCTGTTGCAGGCGCATTTCCTAGGGCTGGGTCCCAGGGAAACGTTTAACTTTTCCCCCACGGACAGGCAAGGCAGGGAGAGCAGGGCACGCAGGGAGACACCTGCAGGTATCACGACACGTGAGCCCTGTCGTGCTGCGAGAGTGCGGAAGAACCGCTGGAACGGCAGCGTTTGCGCTTCGCTTATGACTTCTCACGACAGCCCCACGCACGTTCTGCCCCAGCCGCAGCCCCCCGGGCTGCCGCCGCTCGGAGTTTCGAGCCGAGGCCCCTGCCCTCTCGGCCACACCGTAGATAGGGGCGGGGCGGCCAGCGGGGCGGCCAATGGCCGCGAGGCGGCTGTGACGGCGGTGGGCCGTGCCGTGGCGAGCCGTGCCGGCCGGGCCGCACCTGTTACATAAGGCGGCGGGCGGCCGCGGAGCGCCCCGTCCCCGGCCGCCCCTTACCGTTGCGGCCCGGCTGGGCCGGGGGCTGCCGGGCGGCGATGAGCCCGCCGGGCGGTAAAGAGGGCGGCCGGAGGCGGCGGCGGGGGCGGGCAGCGGGAGCCATGGCGGACGGCAACGCGGACTGGATGGGCTCCTTGCCGGCGGCGCTGCGCAGCTACCCGCTTTCCAACCTGGCCATCCCAGGTGAGACGGGGCGGGGAAAGAGGCGGGAGGCTGGCTCCTGTTTTCGGAGCTAACGGGGCCCTTGGGCCGTCCCCGAGGCGGTGGGGGTCGGTCGAGCTAGGGCCTGAAGCAAAGGCTTGGGCCGTGGGCAGCCTGGGCGGGGTTGACCTTCCCTCCCAGGTGGCTGGGGCCGTGGGAAGAGTGGTCAGGGTGTTCCCGTAGGTGTTGGCCTTCCGGCCTGCTGGATTGTCATCCTGGGTTTGGCTTTGAGTCATTCAACGTTGTTTAGTAGTAGAACGCATACAGATGTTGTTCTTTCTTTTCTGTTCATTGCTTGTCCTGTTAAGTAAGGTGACTGGTGTCTTCAGCATTTGTCAGTTTAAAGCAATGTTTTGTTCACTTATAGGCCAGACTGTTTTCAGCAGTATGTGGAGACAGGACAAGGGGAGGTGGCCGAAAACTGAAGCATAGGAAGTTCTGCACAAATGTGCGCAGGAACTTCTTTATGGTGAGGTGACGGAGCACTGGAACAGGCTGCCCAGGGAGGTTGTGGAGTCTCCTTCTCTGGACATATTCAAGACCTGCCTGGATGCCTACTTGTGCGACCTGGTGTAGGGAACCTGCTTTGGCAGGGGGGTTGGACTTGATGATCTCTGGAGGTCCCTTCCAACCCCTGTTATTCTGTGATAGCTAATAGCTGGGATTTCAAGTATTTGGACTAAATCTTTCTGGTGTTGAGATGTGCGTTCTCCTGTTAGGATTTGCTGTGCTTGGGATTGTACTTGTTAGCTTGACCTATAACAAGCACGCAGAAGGCCTGTGTTGAGAATCATAGAATCACCAAGGGTGGAAAAGACCTAGTCATTCAGTCCAATCATCTGGTCTAAACCATATTCCTCAGTGCAACATCTAAACGTTCCTTTTGCACTTCCAGGGTCAGTGACTCCACCACCTCCCTGCACAGTCTATTCCAGCACCTGACTGCTCTTGGAGAAGTGCATCCTAATGTCCAGCCTGAACCTCCCCAGGGAACAGCTTGAGGCCATTCCCTCTAGTCCTATTACTAGTTACATGAGATGGGTGACCCCTAGCTCACTACAACCTCCCTTCAGGTAGTTAAAGCCTTGTTTCTTTGCAAGGCAATTTCAGTTTGGAATGGAATGGCCTGTCTTAGGATTAAATGTATTAATGCTGTTGATAGCCCTAAATAGCCCTTCCTTCAGTTAATCCCTGAACTATGACTTGTTGCTTTTGCTCCTCAGAAGGTAACTAGGAGTAGCATGCTAGAAAGCATTTTTTTTCTGGCTCAAACTCTCATTTAAGTGTAAATTTTGGAAGATGGAGTTCTTGAAGGTGCTGTTCAAGTTTGGTTTGGTATCCAGGAACTTGTGAGTAAATGCTTATATGAACTCCATCCATTGTAGGAGTGGAAGAAAGACTGCTGAAGATGCCACTTAAAAGATCTTCCCTCTTTGTCAAACGAGTTTAGTAATAGCTAACTCCTAGTTGTTCCCCGTGACTCCAAGTTTAAGAAATTGTTAAGCATCATTGATTTCATTTTAGATAGATAAACTGACAAATGAGTAAGACAACAGATGCATCTGAAATTATTTATGAGCACAGCTGAATTTGAATCTAAATGACAAAAAAAAAAAGATCTAGTATTGCTCTTAAATCCCAGGAGGGAAGATCTTAGGGGTAACTACTGTAAGCAGATGGTTCTGATGCTGGCCTCTTGTTGCTATTGGTAGACTTCCTGATATTAGCTTGATTTTCACCATAGTGCATTAGATTATCAAAAACCTTTAGGTACATGTTATGTAGAAGTCATGGGAAGATGCTTCCTGACAAATAGAGGGACTTTCTTTGCCCTAGCAGTGATGACCAAATGGCATTTGGAGCATGTAGAGAAGGGGAAGTGCACTTCCTGTGGAGTATCACAACACCCACTGCTGTATTTCCTAGAGTAGAAGATTGGAACAATTCAAAATGTGGTTTTAATAGACCATAACACTTTTTTCCCCACTTAACAGTAGCAAATGCGTGGTTTTTTTAATAAAACTTTGCTTGTTTCAACAATGAGAGGGGATCAGAAAGAAATTGCACTGTTTGTATGCTGTTCTGGCTAGCTGTTGATTTTGAAACTTCTAGCGAGGAAATCATTCTCAGTTCAACTGAGCATCACAATGTCTTTGTGGATGTAGAATTTTGCTTTTGAAAGGTTAAGTGATGGGCAGTGGCAGTGCATCAAGTTTGTAATGGAGGAGCTAAGCTAATGAATTCTTGTTTCAGTCATGACATGCTGCTTTTAGAATGAGTAGTGTTTGTTGTTGTTTGTATTTTTAAAATACCTGCACAAACTTTGACTTTACTGCATCTTCCCATCTCTTTCCTGCATATACTTCGGGTAACTTATGAATAGAATCATAGAATGGTTTGGATTGGGATGGACCTTAAGATCATCTAGTTCCAACCTCCCTGCTATTGGCAGGGACACCTCCCTCTAGAGCATGTTGCTCAAAGCCAGATCTTGACAGCCTTCAGGGAGGGGGCATCTACAGCCTTACTGGGCAACCTGCTCCAGTGTCTCACTGCCCTCACAGTAAAGAATTTCTCATATCTAGTTTAAATCTTCATTTTTCCAGTTTAAAACCACTTCTCCTCATTCTGTCACTACATGCCATTATTAGAAGTCCCTCACCAGCTTTCCTGTAGCTCCCCTTCAGGTACTGGAAGGCTGCTATAAGATTTCCTCAGAGCCTTCTCCAGGCTGAAGAGCTCCAGCTCTTTGTCTGTCCTCACAGGACAGGTGCCACAGCCCTCTGATCATCTTTGTGGCCTTCCTCTGGACTCACTCCAAAAGCTCCATGTCCTTTCTTTGTGTTGTTGGTCCCAGATTTGGACACAGTATTCCCAATGGGTTCTCACATTATGAATAGAGTAGAGGGGCAGAATTACCTCCCTTGACCTGCTGGTCACAATTCTCTTGATGCAAGCCAGGATACAGTTGGCCTTCTGGGCTGCAAGCGTGCATTGCCGGCTCATGTTGAGTCTTTCATCAACAAACGCTCCCACTCTTCTCAAAGCTGTTCTCAAGCCATTCTCTGCCCAACCTGTATCTGTGTTTGGGATTGCTCTGACCCATCTGCAGGACCTTGCACTTGACCATGTTGAACTTCATGAGGTTGACGTGGGCCCACCTCTTGAGCCTATCCAGATCTCTCTGGATGAAATCCCTTCCCTCTAGTGTGTCAGCTGCACCACTCAGCTTGGTGTTGTCTGCAAACTTGATCCCACTGTTCATGTCACCTATGAAGATGTTAAATACCACTGGTCCCAGCACTGGTGAGTACAGTGAGGAGAGTAGAAAAGAAAGAAAGGGTAGATGCTTTGCGACTGTATTTTCTTATTTTATAATTATGGTCCAGTGATTTTTTTCTGCTGAAGTGGATTTTTGGTTGACGAAGCAACCTTTATGGCAGCCAGGGTGATGTTACTAGCAGTATGCAAGGAAAGGGTTATACAAAACAGTTTGCTGTTGGGACATCTGTTTACAGATGCTGAATATCAATGACAGCCTGTGGTATCTTCAAGAAATCTGAAAGATAGGCATCAGCTCAAATGAGAAACATTTTGATCTGTGTGTAATATCTGTATGCATATATGACAGGTATGGCTTGCTTTTGTCTGTCTCTTGTGATGCTTGCTTTCACCACTGGAATGACAGAATCAACTGGTTTTTGGATTTTTTTTCTCTTCCTTCCTCCCAGTTTCTTGTTGTATGCAAAACTGGGGATGCAATGCTATTGGTGCCACTGAAGCAGCTGAAGCCTGGAACTTGCTTTAGGTCTAAATAAAGCCAGTATTCAAAACCCTGAAATGATTGGTTTGGGATATGCAGCATTTAAAGATAAATATATATGTATTTTTAAGAGATTGCAGGATGGGACTATTCAAAATTAAATAATTGCTAATATACACCAAAAAAAGAAAACTAACAAAACACTTGGATTTATACCAGTCTGTCACGTTGTAAGTGTTACCATTTAAGTAACCCTCTTGTATGAAGCATAGGGTTCTTAATCTGGTGCAAACTGTTCTGCTTCTGGAGCTGCATGTTTTCACTGACTTTAAAGGTAGCTGTGACCTCTGGGATTTTTTTTAACCAAAACTATTCAATTTCTCTGAATGTGTTGTGAAACGTGCTGCCTGAGGAGAGAGGAAGTCATTATTCTTTATTTGCCCAATCCTGAGAAGGAACTGATAGCAAGTAGTGCTTAAGATGGGTATTCTATTGGGTGCACTCATTTAATGCTTACATGCTGATTTAATTCTGTGCTCAAAATAGAGAGAAACTTTGAAAAAAATTGGAGTCATCTTCAAAAGCTTGGGTACAATCAGTTCTAATATTTGGCCTTTTCTTGAAAAACTGGGGATTACATTCTAAACCAGCTCAGTGCCATCTAAGGAAAATAGGTGAGTTTTTATGTGTGGTGTGATGAGAAAAGAAGTGTTGCAGTGAGAAATTGAAAAATATCATATAACCGAAATGTCATTGAACTGCATATAGTTAATTTTGTAAAAAATACTATCTTTAACAAGTTATGACTGTATGTAAGCTCTTGAGAGTTTTTTCCTAATTATGCTCTGGACTAATCCTCTTTGAATGCGAGTTTAAAATGAGCTCTTGAACATGGATTGTGAATGTGACCCTGAGCAGGATAATGCACAGTGTTGTATAGCATTTAGTTTAATCTCAAGCTATTTTGTTTTTAAGCAATTTTATGGAACTGCGTAACTTTGACACTTGGTGTTTTCCTTACCCATCTCTTGACCTATACGTTCTCAAAAGCGAGGGAAAGGGGGGTAGGTTTAAAGAAGAAGGGGACAGACTCTTTAGCATGGTCTGTTGTGATAGGACAAGGGGAAATGGTTTCAAACTAAAATTTAGATTGCATATATGGAAGAAGTTTTTACAGTGAATGTGGTGAGGCACTGGAACAGGTTGCCCAGGGATGTGG